TCAAAAACAATTTCTTTATAAACTATATTCTTTGTACGTAAATTATTATCATGGTCTATCGGCTTGATCCGAACTTTTGTTGTCTTCATCGAAATTCCTACAACATTATATTGGGCTTTGTGAAGGAAATAAAACATTATAATGGTATTGTTATTTCTTTCTATAATATCAAGACATAAAATATAAATCATAAAATTTGTGATAGCACATATAAAAATGGAAAGTTTAATAATGTGTTCAATTTACCTACACTTTGATGAACATCAACTTATTACTGGAAGGTAGTTCCAAATGTGAGGTTCAAATGAAATCGGTCACGTTAACCTTACTAAAAGGTTATGGTATAAATATGAGAATCCAACATACAAACAATTATAAAAAGAAAAACGAAAAATCAACTATAATATAATCTATATGGTTGAAAAAGATAAAATTTGAAAAATTATTGTTGTTTGATAATTTAGTAACTTCTCATACTAAACTAAGTATCAAATTTATGTGAAATTTTTTAAAAGGAATGTTTTTTACTTTTTTTTTTTACTAAATGTGGTTGTCATATCTAAAAAGTCAATTACAAAAATAAAATTTGTGTTGTCATATCATAAAATCCAAAGTATTAAAAAAAAATTTAAATTTGTGTCGCGGTCCCAAAACTTTCAAAACATATATTCTTTTTAAAACGGAAACCTCCATTTTACGCATTATATTAATTAATTAAGTGCATAGTAAAAAAAGTTTTGACATAACAAAAAAAATATTTATTATTTTAAGTTTATTTATTTTAAATTAAATTACATATATAAAATGGATCATAAAAAATTGTAACTATGGTTAAATATTTAACTTTTTTTTTTCTTTTCAAAACATTTAAATATTTCCTTGCTTTGAATAGGCACCTAGGAGGACTAATTTATTATTTTCAATTTAAAAAATGAATTTTTAACCTATAATTAATATTGTTACCATATCTAAAGGTCAAATTTTCAAAGGCTAACATTATTAAAATATGGGGCGAAAATATGGAATAATTAAGAAATACTAATTTTGTAAATCCTAATTACCACATTCTTAATGATTTAAACCATTTTTTAAAATCTATACTTAATCTTTTTTCTATATCTAAGAAGTCAAATCTCAAAAAAATAATAAATTAAAATTAATGATTCACATTAATAAAATATGCGATAATGAAGGAATACATATTTTTGTTTCCATATCACACACGTTTCACCTATAAACTCTAACCTACAACATTCCATTTTTTTTTTATGAGATTGCACCATATGAATATAGAGAAAGACAATGATTTAGAGTTGTACATGATAAACATTAGAGAGTTCGTGGTTTTCCTAGATCATCATTTTGTAGTATTGTTTCGATCTATCAAATTGTTTCGATCTACCAAATCTGAGGCTAAAATGCGGTAAAGTTTATTTACAGTTTTGTTTTAAATCTTTCCATTTTATATCTATTTATGTTTTGGTATTTGCTATCATACTGTTCCTCACAACTTATATCTTCACTACTTATTGAAAATTTATAACTATTTTTTTTTGGTAAAATAACAAAAAAAAAACTAAAAATTAAATATAATTTAGTTTTACCTCTAATCGGCTTGATCTTGAACTTGTGTCAAATTTGAAACTCGTATCAAAGGAGATCTACCAAGAAATAATATGTATTTCTAATGGAAGAGGTAAAAATTATGAAAAGAAGCTTCGTGCTAAGAAGCTTTGGTGCAAAGAAAGGTAATATCTAATACTTTTGTTAATTATACTCATAAAATAGACGTTTTAGATGAGGAAATATAGAGAGGCAAAATATAAATTCATTAGGATAGTATTAAATTAATGGGTTTTAATCATAAAATTATATTAATTTCCCTCTATTAAACCTTTTAATCTATATCTACAGTATATATAAAACGTGGGATGAGGAGAAACTTTTTAGGTCAATTTTACCCTTCTTCAATAACTCATTTTTATAAAAGTTTGATGGTAAATTTGTTATTTACCTCTCCTACTTTCTTCCTCTCTCTCATTCCCACGCCCACTTCCCCATTTATCTCTTTTTCTTTTCTTTGAAAATATTTTATCTCCACCTATACAAATTCCTTTCTTGCATTCATTTATCTTAATTCTTTCACATTTACTCTCTGTTCATTTTTTCTCCACCATCCAAATGCATTACTCAAATTAACCTACCCAAATAATCATTTATCTTTTTTTTTTCTTTTAAAATTATAATTTCACTTAATCTTGTATTTAATCTTGTATTTAAAATGTTTAGAATATGAAAAGTTTTATGATCTATTTAATTTATTTTTTACTCCTAGAATTTGAAGTGTTTTCTCCCCTCTCTCTCTTCTATATAATTAACTCTATATACCATTTTTGCCCTCTCACTATAAGTCTTCATTTTTCTTTTGATGATAATTGTGTCATTTAAATACAAACTTTCTCTCCCTCAATTAATCTCTTCCCTCTCGATCTCACCCCTCTAAATTCCCCTATTTTCTCTTACTAATCTTCTCTCTCTTAATTATTCTTTCATTATTTTTATCTTTATTTTTTTCAACTCCTTTCATCTACAACATACCCTCCCCCAATTCTTTCATCTTCCTATCCCCTTCCAATTATCACATACCCTCTCCCAATCCTTTCATCTTTCAAACCCCCTTTCAATCCGTATATAAATATGTGTCCTCTCTTTCTCATGACAACCAAAAATCAAGAGGTGGTGGATGGAACAAAGTGGAAAATTTTCTAAGTGGTGTGAAGGCATGAAGATTACTCTCTTGTTTTAGCAACGACAACAACAATGCACATATGGGTGATCGAGAGAATAATTGATAGTGAAGAGAAACCAAATTAAAGCTAAGTTGATGACATCAGTTCGCTTTCTCTAAATTTATCATTGTTCAGATTGAAAGAAATTCTAGAGTACGATGTGTCGAGATGGTGGTCGATGGAATCGAGATCAAGCAAAATTCGATCATTCTCATAATTTGAATAATAAGAATGCTTATGAGTTTGATTTTTATTTATTTATTTTTTAAAGTGATGCTTTTGATTTATATATGTGAAATGTTGTAATTATTTTTACAAAGTGAGGGCAAACAATTTTTATCCCTCTCAATATCATACCTTGAATTTATATTTATATATAATCACTTTCTTTCTTTAAAATGATAATATTATAAACTTAAAAAATACTATTTATTTTACTTTAATTTAGAATATAAGATTCTACGTGCAAGACACGTGTTTCTTACTAGTATCTAAAACGTCCACAATCTTCCTTTTTTTATTATTATTATTTTTTAAGAACGTCCACAATCTATTTCCGTCCTAATTTAAAAAAATGATGGTCCTTAGTCACTTGACTTGTAATAGTTCATTATTATATTATTAAAATAAATTAAAAGTAAGAATATCATGGATCTATTTTCCAAAATCTGATGAATTTCTTTAATGAGTCTCAATAAAAAAGTGGTACTAATTCAAGGATAAAATGTTGGAATATGAAGCCTAACATTTATTTCCACCCACTATTCATCTATTTATCGTTTAATCTCATCTTAATTAATCACGAAATAATTATAGCTGCAGTTTTTTATAAATATAATTATAACTAATGAATTTGATACATGTAAAAGGATCAATTTGCCATCAAATTCATATTCAAATGGGTAAAAAACGAAAGACAAAAACAGCCAAAAAAAAGTTTCTCTAATCCTGTTATTTATATATACTATAGATTTTACATTTGTAGAATTACTTTTAAATTTAGTGCGATCAAACAAACTCGTGATTAAAATTGATTTTAAGAATAGGTAACAGAACCCGCAAATTTTTTAAATAAAACTATTTTATAGAAATTGTTACAACAAATAGTACTTTTTATAAACGCTCAAATTAGAAAGTATTGTCAACCTCATCCTCACTAAGTTGAAAAAAAAAAGAAAAGAAAAAACTAGAGGAGAAATTAGAGTACTTAAGAAACGAGAAATTGAAATTTTCTACTAACTTCATAGAAATTTGAAAAGAGAATTAGAAAATTTCCCCTAAAAAACTAGTTTAATTCTTCTTCTAAATTTCTACGAACTCATTAACTATCATAATTTTATCATTAGTCAATCATAACATTCGTCATGAAAAAATAATGATAGAAAAATGTTAAAATGCAAGGGATTGAATTGAAACTTTTTAAATCATAAGTCTAAAAAATCACTTAAGCATACAAATAATATATATATATATATATATACACCTTTTAATTTAATTTTTAAACATACTGGACTAAAAATAAAATAAATATATATGCCCTTTTCAATTTAATTTTTCAATGAGTCCACACATGAAAATGTTTACCGTCTTTGATAGTGAAATAGGATAAAATAACATTTATGAATATTAGTGTAATATTAATAAATAAATAAAATCAACATCTCTTTAATTTAATTTAGTCTGGTACCTTTTAAATTGTATTTAATAAGTCGTTAAATTTTAAAATGTCTAAGAAATTTTTAAGCTTTTATTTTTACTTTTCTTTCTAATGGTTAGTTTAGCTTTAAAAATATATAATAAATTTCTGAATTTTCAATTTGTGTACAAGATTTATGACTTATTTAACCTTTGGTTAAATTCACAAACCATTAAACATAAAATAAATAGACTTAATATCTAATATAATTCTAGTATTTTAATTGTTTTTAATAGATACGTAAATTTGTAAAAAAAAAAATCTAATAGATCACTATAAAAATAACATATTTTTATAGTAACATATTATCTCGTGAGATTAGTCAGAGTTTGTGCAAACTCACTCGGACATTCATATATATAAAATAAAATAATAAAATAAAATAAAAATAGAAGATATTAAATAATATATAATTTTTAGACTGAGGGGCCAATTCTAACCTCGCTCTCACTGGGAAATGGGAATTTTGTTCCTTTGGTAAAACACCTACTTGTGTATACCGTCGCCCTCTTCGATCAATATGAGTTCACGACCCCCCTTCACTCTCTCTCTGCGACCATCTCCGGCGGCGGCAACCATCTCCGACGGCGGTGACCATTTTTAATGGATCTTCCTCCTCCTCTGCTTTCATTATAAAATCGTAGTGGACTACCCTTCGTCTCAGTTCAACTCTCACCTCGCCGAAGCTCGGTACGTCTCGTATACAAAAGTTGATATTTCTGATTTTACACATCTGGGTTATCGAAAATAGCATGGAAATTTGATATTGCTGTTTGGATGCTGCCATCCTTTCTCCCTTGCGCTAAATGGGTTAGCCTCGAATGTATAGAACTAGCTGATCGTTAATATGTCGAATTTCACTTGGTTTGGTGTTTCTTCTTGTACGATTATCCAAACTCATTAGTTGCTCTGAAATTACCCTGGATACCAATTGTTATTTGAGTGCACTGCTAATAATCTGAGTGTGTCTGAAACTGAGGGCATTGATTGAGTAGTTGCGTGCGGGAGTTGGCCTTTGAGAATGTAGATGTGTAATAGTAAGATAGCGATCGGGTTGAAGTTGTTTCTGTGAATACCCAGAATTGAATTGTTTGATTAAACCCAAGTCTGTGCTTCAAACCTTGTTTTGAGCATGAGACTGAAATTTCGAAATGTATTTTGTTTTATGCTTACTAATAGCATTTGTGCATTCTTTAAAATTTGAAAAAAGGAAATTAGGAGGATAAGAAGTGGGTGGAGATTGGGTGGGACGTGGGAGAGGAAAATGAGGAGGAGAAGAATAAAAGTTGGGGAGAGCCACGACCCTCGATGCGGGCAACCCACGATGCCTCGAAGGCCAACGAGTTCTCAGCATAAACAAGTAAGATTCTATTTAGTAATTTCTAACAATTCATCGTTTTTGCTTCAAACTGGTTTATTTTAATGGTGTATATACTTTGGGTATTTACTCGATGATGTTCGATGATGTTGATGTGTATTTTCTTGAAGAAATGTGAAGTACTAATGATTCTATTCTTAGTTTGAGTTTTATTATTCCAAAGTTGATGTGCTTTTTTTTGAGTTTAATGATTATTTTATTAGTTTTCTAGTTGAGTTTCTTGACATTTTCGGTTTGTTTTTATTTATGAGGTCTAATTTTATCTTATTAATTCACAGGATGGCTTCATCTAAGTTTTTTAAAACAAGTCATTCTAGTCAAAGTGTTCCATCAGTTGAACTTGATAACCCTAATCTTGTTGCTGCTAGTAAAGTAGGATTGCTTGATAAAAGAAAACACAAATTAATTAGTCAAAGTTTGCAGAATGTGCAGCTTAGGAGCAAAATTGACGAAGTATGTCTCTGCTCTGCTCTTAATTCTTGTGCTAAGACTCTGAATTTGTTTAATGGTCTGCAAATTCACGCCCARATTGTTAAAATTGGATTTGAAGAGAACTTATTTTTGAACAGTGCACTGGTTGATTTATACGCCAAATGTAATGCCATCGTGGATGCAAAACGAGTCTTCTTTGGCATGAGAACTCACGATCAAGTTTCTTGGACTTCTATAATATCTGGACTTTCCCAAAATGGGCGTGGGAGCGAAGCCATCTTCATGTTTAAGGAAATGTTGGTAACTCAGGKTAGACCCAACTGTTTTACTTATGYCACCGTTATTAGTTCATGYCCAACACTAGAGGATGATCTTCAGCTTCGTCTTGCAAATTTGCTTCATGCTCATGTTATCAAATTTGGTTTTACATTTAGCAGTTTTGTTATTAGCTCCACTATTGATTGTTACTCAAAACTAGGAAGAATAGRAGATGCTGCTCTGYTTTTYTATGAGACAAGAGKGAAGGATAATATCATATTTMATTCTATGATATCAGGGTATTCTCAAAACTTAYATGGGGAAGARGCATTGAAAYTGTTTGTAGAAATGAGGTCTAGTARTTTGAGCCCAACTGATCATACATTAACCAGTGTTTTAAATGCTTGTGGGAGTCTAACAGTGCTTGAACAAGGAAGGAAAGTGCACTCTCTAGTTACAAAAATGGGATCAGAAAATAATGTGTTTGTGGTCTGTTCTTTGMTAGATATGTACTCAAAGTGYGGGWGTGTTGATGARGCCTTCTTTATATTCAATCAGAYGGTCGAAAAGAAYAGYGTGTTGTCAACTTCGATGATCATGACTTTTGCTCAATGTGGTAGAGGCTCAGATGCGTTAAAGCTCTTTGAGATTTTGTTGATTGAAGAAGGTTTCTTGCCAGATCATGTCTGTTTTACTGCAGTTTTGACTGCCTGCAATCATGCTGGATTTTTAGATGAGGCAGTTGAATATTTCAATAAAATGGGCAGCGAATACGGATTAGATCCTCAAATCGATCATTATGCTTGTTTGATTGATCTCTATGCCAGAAATGGCCACATAGAAAAAGCCAAGCAATTATTGGAGCAGATGCCTTACGAATCTAATTACGTCATGTGGTGTTCCTTATTAGGCGCTTGCAAAGTTCATGGCGAGGTCGAGCTCGGGAGGGAGGTCGCATATCGACTCATTGAGATGGATCCAAGTAATGCTGCACCTTATGTTACACTTGCTCATATCTATGCTAGAGCTGGTTTGTGGGGTCAGGTGGGAGATATTAGAAAAAAGATGCAACAAGAAAAGGTAAGGAAAAGTGCAGGGTGGAGTTGGATTGAGATAGATAAGAAATCTCATGTCTTCTCAGCTGGTGATGCAACTCATCCTAAATCCTTTGAGATTTATTCAAAACTTGATCAACTGGACTTGGATACGAAATCAGCTGAACATGCATCAAAAGCACTTCAGTATGATGAGTTTTATTGCCACTGATGGAATATAGTTGTTATTGGAACTGAGAATCTTGTTCTAAAGTAGAATCATGTTTGCAATGAACTTTAGGATGAGTGATTCAATCTACTATAATCACACATGTTCTTCGATTCCCAATCGATTGAATCGTGTTCAATTTTGAAGTTTTTTTTTCCTGTGTTTGAAAAAAGTTCTCTATTTTGACGATAATTTGTAAAAGTTGTTTTCGAAACAAAAAACAATGGCAAATATTTTATCTGGAAATGTGATTTTGTATTGTTTTTGTGTTTTCTAAGTGTTTGTAAGGGTGTGTTTGGGAGTGATTATGACCAAAATTACTCTTGCCATTGTCAAATTTTTTTTTTTGTTAGGATCCATATTTGACAAATTAAAAAAATTGATTTTTGAAAGGGTAAAAATATTTTTAAAGTATGACTCAGATGATAATTTTTAAAATTCAATTATATATCTCTTTTTTTCAAAATTAATTATTCTACCATTACTCCCAAATACTGATATTTGATTTCAAGATGGAAATAAAATTTTATTCATAACTCTTTTGACACTCGTTCTTTTTTTCTCCCAAAAATTAATGGCTATGATTGAGATTCATAAAGAGCGTAAACTAGTATATTTGAGTCTAAACTCTCTATTCAATCTTAT